TGGATCTGAGTCCAAATCCCACATCCCCAGTGGGGTGCAGTGACTCACACCTATAATCCTAGCACTCTGGGAGGCTGAGGCAGGATGATACCTTGAGCTCAGGAGTTCAAGACCAGCCTGAACAAGAGAACCCCCATCCCATCTCTACTAAAAATGAAAAAAATTAGCCAGGCATGGTGGCACAGACCTGTAGTTCCAGCTACTTGGGAGGCTGAGGCAGGTGGATCACTTGGGCCCAGGAGTGTGAGGTTGCAGTGAGCTGTGATGACAATACTGTACTCCACCCAAGGCGACAGAGTAAGCCTCTCTCACAAACAAAAAAACTCACCAAAACAAATCCCAGTTCCTCCACCTACTCTGTGAGCTTGTACACATCATCTGACTGCTTCCAGTTTCTATACCTTTATCAACAAAATTAGTGTATTACCTAATAATAGCCACTAACATTTAATAATTCTTTAGTCTACGAGCTTTCCTTGTATCATTTCATCTCGCCCTTACCACAGTCATGACCCACATGTGACACACGAACTTTGTTATAAGGGAGGCCAGCTAACTTGCTCAAGCTAATAGCAGTGCCAGAACATGAACTGAAGTCACCTGGCTCCAGGACCCACATTTGCCCAACAGGTGCTTATGACCAGGAAAGCCTCTTCTGGAGAGAATCAGTAGAGCTGAGGCAAATTAGACTTTTCAAGGCCCAGGAATCAATTTTTTTTTTTAAGTATATCAGAGACATCCTATGATCAGGTAATTTTGGAAATCACTACAATAGAACAAATATAAAGAGAAAAACTAAATAAAAACCAAATTAGCTACTACTCATGTAGTAAAATATCCTCTTGCCAGGCCAATATCAGTATCTGGATGTCTCCAGGGGTGTTCACCCTGGGTACTGCGGATGGAAGCCCCTGCCCTGTGGCCCGTTCTCCTAAGCACTTACCCTGACTACCTGTGGCAGGCACAGAAACTGGACTTAAGCAAATACCATCCAGGTTTGAGTCCTGACTCTGTCACTTCCTTTCTAGACATGCCCCTGGATGAGTCACTTTCTATCTCTGAACGTCAATATTCTCATCTATAAAACTGAACCTCAATATTCTCATCTATAAAACTGAACCTCAGTATTCTCATCTATAAAACTGAGATATGTTTTGGATTACAGAGTTGGTAGGATTAGCAAACACAAGCGTATAATAATCAGTCTTTATTGATCTTCATTAAAAGTAAAGTGCCAAGAAGGATGAAAAATGACCCCCCAAAAGTTCAGATCATTACTAACAAGCCAGTTCTCCAGGAGTAGAGGCTCCTGTCCCCAGTGGCTGTAGTCTTGCCCGTAAATGTAGTCACTGGTGGGGAGGGGGAATATAGCTTTGCTGTCCCAACTTCCTGAAGACGATCCAAAATGTCTAAAAAAGAATTTTTCTCCAAGATAAACTTTATTTCAAACTTTTAACTACATGCCAAGAAAGTGCTTACTACTTGGGAAAAATTAACTTTCCAAAATTTCACAGAAAACAAGTTAGCAAGGAATGTGCTTTATCAGTAAATTAGTAATGAAGACCTTTAACCCTGGCTAAAGATTAACAATGATAACTAGGTTATTAAACTGGAGGCTTGTTGGTTAAACCTATTGTATTTTGAAAGAATTATAAAAACTCTGATCTCCCAGTTTGTGTATTAGGGCCAACCATGTGTGAAACAGCCTATCAGAAACACTGCTGCCCATTCTGTCCTGGACACTGGACTTTCCATGCATTGTTACACTGCCAGACTCTCAGTGTAGCCCTCCAAGATTTTTTTCCTATTTTGTAGGGTTACCAACTGAAATTAAGTAGCATGCCCAGGATGACACAGCCTGAAATTCTGACTTGGTACAATTTCTGACTCTTTGGAGGCTAGAGAAGTTGTGTCACAAACGACAATCATACTAACGCAAGAAGACTAAAAAGCAAATTTTAACTCAAGAAGACTAAAAAGCTCATTAATACTTAGCTTCGGGCTGGTCATCCACACACAGCATTCCTTCCTAACTGGTGTGGCCACACAAGAGATCAAATTATAGGTCAGAAAGCCGAAACCTATGCAGAGAATTACAGACTCATTCCATGGGAATTTCCACTCAACAATGGATATGTATTGCATACCCTTCACTATTCCGTAGAGAATAGGGGGCCTGTTTAGAAGCAGGAAGACATGGAGAACTACTGCCTTCTGGCCCTCTTTCTGCCACCATTTCCTCACTTCCCATGCAGATCCCACCATGCAACTAACTTTATTTTTTTTTTTCATTCTACTAACTTTAAAACACCCACCACATGACAATATAATCACTGCTTATATTTCAGGCATTAAGATCAACTTTGGGTGTGTTTTTTTTTTGTTGTTGTTGTTGTTGTTTGTTTGTTTTGAGACAGAGTCTTAATTTGTTGTCCTGGGTAGAATGTCAAGGCATCACAGCTCATAGCAACCTCAAACTCCTGGGCTCAAGTGATTCTCTTGCCTCAGCCTCCTGAGTAGCTAGGACTATTGGTGCCCACCATAATGTCTGGCTGTTTTTAGAGATGGGGGTCTTGCTCTTGCTCAGGCTGGTCTCGAACTCCTGAACTTGCCTTGACCTCCCAGAGTGCTAGGATTAAAGGCGTGAGCCACTATGCCTGGCCCATGTGTGTGGGTTTCTTAAGCAATATCTTGTGGGTAGGTAAAGCTCTTACTTAAAATAAAAATTCTATTGATTTCCACTTGAGAGGGTGATATCAGCCTGCAAAAATGATTAAAGACCACTAAACTGTAATATTTTAGACATATTCAGTTGACTGTTTACCACTCACTTAAAAGAGTCAGCTCATAGATTATATATTAATGCCTATGAAAATATTTTACAAATCAATAATGGTTAACAAAAAACTTCAGTAACCTTAACTTTGTGTACTTAAGTGTAGGTTTCATACACTATCTAGACAACAGTCAGCCTTTTTCCTTTTTTAAAAATCTTCTCACTGGTACTGATTTCCTACCTTTAACCAGAAGGGAAGAGCTGGTCTCACTCATGTTTCTATTCCAACTAAATGAACCTCACCACTACTGCAAAGGAGGATGGGGATACCTGACTTCCTTCTAAGGCATAGAAAAGCATGGTGGGCCTGCTCCGACAGCCATTGCTTGTCCTTTCAGCTTTCTTTGCAGGAAATGAGGAAAAAGAAAAGGATGTTTCCTCCCAGTTGGAGCCTTTGTATATCTATCCCCATGAGATTTCATAAAAGTTTTATGGAAAATTAAGAACATGTTGAACATGTTATTAAGTCTGAATTATAACCATCCCTTGCTATACAAGCTCCCCTCTGACAACTACAACCACAGATATTGCCTCTTTCCTGGACATCCATGTGGCTTAAAGCCTGCACTGCTCAATCTAACCTATTAATACATATTTAGAGAAATTTATATTAGAGCTGCGCTGGGAACTGATCAATCCTCTTGTCCAAGGATCATTTTTGCAAGTGAGACATCTGCAGTCTTGAGAGGAGAAAGTACCTGCTTGAGGTCTCAGGACTTCTTGGTAGACACTCCATTCATCCTCCCAAACAGTTCCTCTCATCTTACATGTCAAGTCTGAGGCCTGCACTGTTAAGAGCTGCAGACGTCTTATTTACCTGCATCCCCCTCTTACACCTGTTACAAAGCCTGGACCACCGGAGCAGCTCAGTAAACTGGAGATGAACAAAGGAGTGAAAATCCAGAGGCACCCAAGTTAAAGGCTAGAAGTTGAGGCAGAGGAAGGGATTAGGAGTGTGAGGAAAGCATTAAAAGAACACTGGGTGGGTGGGGCTTCAGAGAAGAGCTGTCCATGGAGAATTAAGTACCCAAGCCCTGAAATCAAGCAGAGCTCAAATTTTTCATTCAGGCACTCAGCAAAATATTCACTGAGGGTTCACTTGGTACAGGCAATTGCTGGATGCAGGGGATAGACAGGCTGAGCAAGACAAACATAGACCCCATTCACACAGGGAATAAAATAAATACAGTTCAACTTGTGACAAATGCTATTAAAAACAACAACAGCAGCAACAACAGGGGTTGTGTAAGGAAAGGTGTGTGCAATTTTAGACAGCATAGTTAAGGGAAAGTAAGTATCTTTGAGGAGGAAGCTTTTCTGTTTGACACTCACATGGCCTTCCACTGTGGATAGCCAGCTGTGTGACCTTGTGCTGCTGCACAACCTCTCTGAACCCGCTTTCTTATCTGGATTATGGAGACAATGCTGAATACCTCACAGGGCTGGAAGAATGTGAAGGTAAATGGACATGAGTCACCTGGCACACAGTAGATACTGTGATTATTGTCATTCTGGGACGGTCAGAGACCAGTGACAAACGGGGAAAATTAGGAGAAAAGCTTGCAAACACAAGGTGTGCACGGGACCACCACTGTTCCAAGAATCTACTTACTTGCACATCTCTTCCCTAACGGATTGCTAGTTCTAGGGCAGGGGTCAGGTGTCCTCCTCCCTGAACCCCAGCCCTGTTCTGCACCGGGAGAAGCCAAGAGCTAGGTGCGTGAGGGGTGTGGGGATTGGGGCCACCGGTCACCGAGGAATTGCTCGTGCGGTTCGCGCGGTTGCCTGTCCCGGTGGCAGCCATCTTGGGTGTCTCCCCGGGGTGAGTTTCGTCACGCTGCCACCGGGCACAGGATGGCAAGGCGCAAAGGGGCGTGGGAAAAGGAGCCCCCTCCCATCGGGGATCGGGCACCACCCGGGGATTAGAGAGCGCCAGGGCCTCAGAATGCTGGAAGTGGGGAGCTGTCGGGAAGCTGGATGGCAGGGGTCCCCAAGGTGCAGGGAACCCTGGACACAGGCCAACGACTGGGCTTCGGACCCCGGAGCCTGGGGTTCTCCCGGCAGCCGCCCGCGAGCGCGCGCCCCCGCCCGAGCCTGCGCGCCTCCGCCGGGCTCTCGGCGCGTGTGCCAGCCGCCCCGGGCGGGCCCCCCAGCCGCTACTCACCGCTTCCCCCGGGCCGCCTCCCGCGCCACTTGCAGGTCACACTCTCGCCTCCTCCGCCGCCACCGGAAGCTCTCCTCCCGCCACGGCGGCCCCGCGCGCCGCCGAGGCCCCGGAGCGCGCCCTCAGAGCGCGTCCTCGCGCAGGCCGCGGGCGCGCGTCGGGGCGGGGAGGCGCGGGCCCGGCTGGGACCCCACCCCGGGCTGGGCGCTGCGGGGCCGGGCCTCCCGGCAGGCGGACCCTACACGCCGCGCTGTTGCTTCTGGCTGGGCGGAGGCCGATGCTATTGTTTCCATTTTGGTTTCCTTCATGGGGCGGCCTCCTAATCGTTTCTGTACTCTAAGGGCCTTGCGAAGAAAGGGTCAGCAGTGAGTCACCCGCTCACTCGCTCATCTTAGCGTTGAAACCCGTGCTTCCCAAAGTGTGAGAGCTTGGTACCACTGGTGCTACAAGGTGATTTTTGAGGAGGTAGAAGTGCCACCACATAATTTATGTCTTTAAAAAGTAACAAGAAGAACAACAAATTACTCTAGCTCCTTTATGGAGAACAGGCTGTAGGGACGGCAATATGCAGGCAGAAAAGAGGTCATTTAGACCTAACCAGGAGAGAGAGAATGGTGTCATGGACCAGGCTGGGGCGCAATAACAGTGGAGAAAAAAGGGAGACGCATTAGATCTAGGCATCTTTGAGGGTAAATGAAATCTATTATAATACATGGTGAATTAAATTGGATCATGTTCATGGGTAGAAAGATTTTTTTTTTTTAAGACAGAGTCTCACTATGTCGCCCTAGGTAGAGTGATGTGGCTTCACAGCTCACAGCAACCACCAACTCTTGGGTTTAACTCATTCTCTTGCCTCAGCCTCCCAAGTAGCAGGAACTACAGGCACCTGCCACAACGCCCGGCTGGTTTTAGAGACGGGGGTCACACTCTGGCTCAGGCGGGTCTAGAACTCCTGAGCTCAGGCAAACCACCCGCCTCAGCCTCCCAGAGTGCTAGGATTACAGGCGTGAGCCACTGCTTCCAGCCTAAAATATTCCATTTTTAAAGATGTAAATTCTCTCCCAAATAACTTATAAATGTAACACCATTCTAAGCAAAATTCTGAGAACACTAGTTGGTGTGATGGTGTGTATGTACAACTTGACACATTGACTAAAATGTACATGGCAAAATAAAGAACTAGAAAAAGCCAAAACAACGTTGAAGAAAACAGTAAGATGGAGTGACTTGTCCTACAGATACAAAAGTTGTTATACAGTGATGGTAAATAAGAAAGGTGGTATGTTGGTGCCAGAATCAACAACAGAGGTGCCATACATGGACCCCTGCACTTGTAAAAACCTGCTATGAGTCGGCATTGCAAGTCAGGGGAGAAAGGTTAGCTACTCATTAAAGATGCTGGAACAATTCAATCCCTAAATTACACAACACACAAAACTCAACTGCAGGTGCATTTAAGGTCCAAATATGAAAAACAAAACTTTCAAAATTCAAGCAATATTTTTCATAAACATTGGAGTGTCTTGCTTAGCCTCAGAATTCCCAGGAATGTACACTGTGGCAAGTGCAAGACTCAACTGGATTTAAAAAAGAAAACAAAAGGTTTCTTCTATCAGGGAGCATGTGGGCAGGGAAATAGGCAAGTAAGTATCTAAAATAAATGATAACAATTTAATATAAAACTTGCAATGGTAGAACGTGGAATATGCTGTGTGACAGAGCTTTGAGAACACTGGAGAAGGGATTGGCCAGGTTACCTGCAGAATGGCCAGGAAAGGGAGGTTTAGTAGATACAAATGTATCAGTTATCTGTTGCCATAAAAATGCTACATCACAACCATAAAACCTTGGGAATATGCAACAGTAAACATTCCTTTTTGTTCCAAGTCTGTGGGTTGGCTGCGCACTACTGGGAACCTGAGCTGGACCATGCAGAGTTTACTCATGTGTCTGTGGTCAGCTGTGGACTGTGTGCAGCTTTGCTGATCTTTGCAGGGCTCTCTCACACGTCTGAGGCCTCAGCTGGGACAACTGGCCGACTTGGCTCTGCTCCACCTGCCTCAGCCCTCCGGCAGGCTGCCCGGGCAGAGATAGAGTAGATAGATGTGCCCAAGGCCTCTGGAGCTTGCAGCTGGCGCTCCTTTACTTGCAGCTGGTGCACCTTCACTTCTCGGGCATCCTAATGGTCAAAGTCAGCCACAAGTCTGGCCCACATCCAAAGAGAAGTAGACTTTGATCTCTCAATAGGAGTAGGGGCCAAGCACATTGCTAACGGGTGTAGATATGCAGACCAAGAACTGGGGGTTTCTTTTTCTTCAAAACTTGAATCTTGTGTAGTTCTTGCTTTTCCAGGATCCTAGTTTTTTTGTTTTTGTTTTTGTTTTTTTTCAGGAATCCTCCTCCCTCACTATACTTGTTGATCTTGTCAGATTGTCAATCATGGGTCTTTATCTTCTTATGCCTGCCACAGTCATGGGTACATGATCCAAGCTGGGCCAAACAGAATCCTGCCCTGAATTTATATGTGGCCACTGGGAGAGAGAAGTCACTCCCCTTATCTCACACATACACACATATTGGGGTTGCTAAACTAAGGGAATGTGGATTAAGAGCAGCCAGAGCCACCCCTTTTGCCAGTCCACAGAAGTGAAACGGAGCCAAAAGATACGAGGGAGATAAAGTTCAGATGAAGTAATTTCAGGCCTGAGCTCAGCCAGACCTCCTGGGCTACCAAACCAATCTTCTTTCCTTCCCTCCTTACTTTTTCTTTTCTTTATCCTTTTCCTTTCTCCCCTCCCCTCCTCTCCTCTCCTTTTCTCTTCTCTTTTCTCCTTTTTCTTACACTCTTTTGAGTTGGATTTGTGCACAGGGGGGTTGTTCACAATGTAGTGGTATTTGAGCTGACTGCATTGGAGTTGGAAAAAGCACAAAAGGAGATAGACAAAGGGAGAAGAAATGAGACAAGGAATTAAAAATAGAAAGCAGGTGTCTATATGAGTGTCACCATTATTTTAAATAAAGATCTTTCAGAAACACCTCCCACAAAACTGGAGTGGTATTTTTGTTTGATAGAGCAACTGAATGCTTGGGAATTCTCACTACATGTTCATCAACAACGGTTGCAAAACCTTTGCATTTTAGCATGGACTTTGACTCATTCAAGGAATAGCAAAACAAAACACACTTAAGTCAGCAAAAGTGGGAAGACATTCCTGAGCATAATAAAGTTCAGTGAACTGGGAAACGATCTTGCTGAATGCCTTATAAGATGAAGATTTCATCAGGTGCAAAAGGAAAAGCAGTGAGAACCATTATTTTTTTCCTCTAAATTAACTCTTGAATGAAAGCTTTAAATTCCAGATGATATTAGGCATGTTACTTTTGATGATAAAAGGAATATATAATCATATAAATTTGAAAAGTTCAGAAAAGTACATGTATACACTCAGGGCTACTCTATAGAAACCTCCCCATTAGATATTTCATATATTTCCTTCCAATATTTTCTTTTGTTTTCAGACCAGTCACACTTTTGTTCATCCTGTGCTTGAGTTTCATCTCTCTGGATGTGTTACTTGGAGGCACATGGCACAGCGCATAAGCCCCCAGGCCCTGGATGCAGGCCCACCTGGCTTCTGATTCTACCTCTGCCCCAACAGGCCATGAAACCCTAAATAAATTAATTCTTTAATCTCTCTGTGCCTCACTAAAGTGGGGTAAAGCTAACACCTGCCTCATAGGGCTTTTGAGAAGATTATCTGAGATTATGTCCATATAAGGATTAGCAGAGAACCTGGCTCACAGGGAGCCTTGCTAATAGAGAGCTGTTGTTCTAAGAGTTCCCGATTCCCGGCACATATAGTACTTCATAAATCTCTCTTCTTAGGTTTAAAGTCCTGTTTTCTCTATAGACCATGAAGCCTTTAAAATAAGTAACTTGTCTTACTCAACTTTCTATTCCCAGTGTCTAGGAAGATATCAGTGGATTCAGTATTCATTTGCTAAATATGTGGTTAGAATTGTGGTGCACATACTTTAAGTTCTACTTCCTTCACTTTAAGTCTAGGCTCGGTGTGGTGGCTCGTGCCTGTAATTCTAGCACTCTGGGGAGTGAGGGGGATCCCTTGAGCTCAGGCATTTGAGACCAGCCTGAGCAAAGAGAGCTCTGTCTATACCAAAAATAGAAGAAAATAGCACCTGTAGTCCTAGCTAGCTGGGAGACTGAGGCAGGAGGATCACTTGAACCTAGGAATTTGAAGTTGCCATGAGCTAGGCTGATGCCAAGGTACTTTAGTCTGGGCAACAGAGTGAGACTCTGTCAAATAAAATAAATTAAATTAAATTAAATAGAATATATTCTATTCTATATAGAATAGAATATGTAAACATTTTCTCAGGTTGCATTATAATCTTCATTATTCATTCATTCATGATTTTATTCAATAAATTCTTATTGAATGCTGATTTTTGCATTAGTAGTTATTCTGGGTGTTGAGGAATCTACATTGAATAGAACAAATTTAGTACCCTGCCCTTGTGCCGCTGAGAGTCTAGAGGAGTAGACTCTCCAACTGTTTGGCACCAGGGACTGGACAGGGAGCCAGAGGGGATGAGATTCTCACAAGGGAGCACACAATCTAGATCCTTCCCAAGTGTGCTTTACAGTAGGGTTTGTGCTCCTATGAGAACTAATGTCCCCACCCCCATGTGACAGAACCTAATGCCCTGTCCCCATGTGGCAGGAGGCAGAGCTCAGGCAGTGACTTTAGTAATGGGGAGCAGCTATAAACACAGACGACTGCTTGCCTGCTACCACTCACCTCCTGCTGTGTGGCCTGGTACCTGTCTGTGGTCTGGGGGTTGGGGAACTGCAGGTCTAGAAGGTGAGACAGACAATAAACTCCTCCCTAACATCTAGATTAGTGTTTGATTAAATAGAATGCTTTCTAGATTAGCCAAGTGGGCACACAAAACCCATCACAATACTACTTCCCCCCTGATTTTATGTCTCCATTTTTACTCTTGCCTCTAACTATTGAAGAAGTTAAGGAAACTTCACCCGAAAATATGACT